GACGAATATCATTAGTTTAAGTTTGAATACTACTTTATTTTGGTATTTGCTGTTATTAGTTCTGTCAGTGGCATTGCTTTGCAGTATAATAACTAAAGAATTCAGGGGTTAAAACTTTAATAAGCCATAAATAGAATATGGCGATTATGTTATTGTCTACCATGTTGAAATGATATAGAGAAACGTGTAATGATATGTTTGTAATAAGCAAAGAATGTTCTATGCAACTAGCCGATTACGCTTTTACAAGTATGTCAAGTAATATGAGTAGAGTATGTAGTTTGACAACCAAGAATCAGCAGTCTTGGCGAATTCTCTATGATTCTACTTTCACTAGTGAAAAAGCTGGCATATTATGTTCAGGGGTTATCAATCTCTATAGTCACGTGTTCGTATAATTTTATTTCGCAATAACCTCAGTTAACAATGGGTCGCTTGAACAACATGCAGCTCGCCTTGCAGCAAACAGATATTCAAAAAACAAAATGCTGAACGTCGAAAAACGGCCCAGTCTGACTGGTTCGATATCCCGAAAGCCGAAATAACACCTGAAATAAAGCGGCATTTACAACTGCTCAAACTAAGAGATTTCTCGATTTTACAAAAAGGGCGATTTAAAAGAACTGCCCACGCATTTTCAGGTGCGTAGTTTTGTTATTTAGTCAGCGCTTTGTCAGTAATGTTTCATTTCAAGTGATCTAATCGAGCATGTTTTACGTATTGCAGATTGGTACAATAGTCGAAGCCCAGCAGATCCCGATTGACGCGTAAAGAGAAAAGGCGCACTGTCGTAGATCAATCACCGGCTGACGAGGAAAGCGAAAACTTATTACAAACGGAAGTTCTTGGAGATTCAAGAGGTTTGTATAATGCAGATAGAAATGACAATATACATGTCTCATACTATATTGACTTGTCTATCTGATTATCAGACAAAGCAGAGCGGAGGAAAGAAGTTCTACAAACGTCTAAGGAACAGACAAAAGCCAAACTGGCAGAAGGGCTTCTAATTATATAATCACCTCCTCTAGAAATGCATGTATTCAGAGAGGGAAGCATCTGAGCGATGTTAGCAGACGTTCGGATTATCATTCGTCTAAAAATCGATCCATTATATGGTGAACTCTCTTCATGATGCCGCCCTTGGGTATGGTGGAAAGCATGCATTTACAAAGGTTGTGTATCTAGAGAGTTCGGTTGGTTTATGAAAAGTTAATTATTATTATATATGGTATATCTATTATTGACTAAAATTTTATCCTTTGTAATCGTTTTCTTTTTAATTGGTTGGTCAGCATAGTTTAATAGAATCATTCGTACTCTGCTTCTTTGTGTTACATATTTAGCATGTCAGAAACTACATAAACAATTGGTCATCACATTACAGAAAGTGTCTACGAAAGATCTCAGTACAAGAATTCCGCCTTTAAGCTTATTTGCCTTGTTCCGCCACATTTCTTCATACTCTTCAGTAGCCTTTTCTAGGCTCCCTCAATCTGAAGTCCGATATCGGCTTTCCTCTTTTATGGCAAATGCCACTCGATTTTGTTTTAAGAAGAGGAATGGATTTTGGAACTGTGGCGTGATATGGAGCTCCTTGAGTACTGTCCGACTATAACATTTAAGTTAGGATGACCATTTAAAGTATTCGAGAGTTCAGTGCTCGTAGAGTATTTGTTTGCTGAGACAAGCTGGCCAAGTGCCGACGCTGTTTAGGGGAAACTTTTTTGGCCTACCAGATCGGGGCAGAGGGTTTAAAGAAATATTATTTTTAAGTTTTTTGATATGTTTGTATACAGTGGAAAGTGGAATAGAAGTTAATTTGTGCAAAGTGTCAACATCACGCGTGCCAGCCTCCCACAAAGAGGTTGTCATATAACGTTATAAACGTGTAACAAAAATAAAAACAAAATGCAGTCGCGTTATCTAACTTATTAACACGTGTTATACAGCTTTTTTTTTAACTGGTTGAATATGACAAAAGAAAATCGAAATTTATTGATACATTTTATTCTCATTCCTTTTTTCGTGCACTTTATTTATAAATTAGTACTCCACCACGCACCACGTTGTTATATAAGTCAAGAATTTTAACAAACCCGTATGTGCTTCATCACATGGCGAATAGTATCTTCATACGGTGCTGTATCGATCTGTCAAGTATTCGATTGATAAGAATGGATATATTTCATCAAATAATAACGACTGTAGCAAGTGTCTGAAATCGTGCAGTCACTCCAAGCTGACTTTCTATATATGGAAAAATCTCGCTGTGCTACATGAGACTATATTATCCGTCATTCAATGTTTCTATACAGCAAGTCCAAAAAATTGACTAATAAAGGGAGGGAGAAATACTCGCAACATTCTACCCTGAATTCAATATGCCTCAATCCATTGTCATGGTGCTTCGAATTTCTCTTGACCTGACCCGATTTAGGTGTTATCTCAATCGAATCTGTATTCAACTTCTTGCAACAAGTCGTCAAACTCTTGCTTTATTTCATTACATAGTCGATCCCACAAGTTTTCCGCAAGTGAACCTGCAAACCAAAACGTCTTCTTGCTTTTTCCGTACGAAGCTAAGCATTCCAATAATTGCTTCTCTAAGTAATGCGCTACGAAGATGGTAACGATGTAAAAAATAAAGAGACAGTACTACTGATGCATAATTTAGAAATAGAAGAGCAAGGGTGCGCGGTTAAGCAATGAAACGATATTGATAAGAGATGAAAGAGTTGTGATAAACGGGAGAGAGAATGTATGACACATTGTTGGCCATTTAGGTCCCTGACACTGCTATGTCTACTCTGCCCTATGTATATACTGCTTTTACATATTCTCGACAGCAAGTTATTTCGGGAAAAAATAAATAATTTTCAGAATATGTTTGGGGATGTCTAGGTAGAGGTCTAGATATAGACCATGATGTAGATCGATGAATAGGTGTAAATAGAACTCTAGATCCAGTAAGAGATCCAGTGAGAGATCTAGGTAAGAGATATAGAATTTTATATTGTTTGTGTCTGAGTTTGGGACCCAATCACTCAGTGCAGAACTCAGTTGTCTCAGCCCAGAACCCAGACACTCGGTCCAGAACTCAGTTGTCTCAGTCCAGAACTGAGACAGGTCCCCATCTGACAACAGCCCTCCACTAAGTCTTGATAGTTAATGCACGCAGTTAATACGTTGTTGCAATAATTCTAGGCTGCAATAAATTGGCCCTAAATTTCCGTCTCCTATTGATGGGATTTTTATTCTAATAATTAGAAAATTGATGATAAATAATAATTATTAGTGTAGATGCGTACGTGCATTCCGTCTTATGTTGCAACGCAAATTAAGGTAATTCAGCAAATCCAGCAAGTTACTGTCAATAGTAGCGAAAGGATTATCGATTCTTAGTATTTGTTGTTAATAATTTATTATGTTTATTCGTTAACTCGGTAAGATTCATATTTTATGTTAGATTGTCCTGATCAATCGGAATTAGTACATTAGAACATAGGAATACGAAAGCATTTCGAGAATGAGAGATATGCTATTCCTATATACAATAAATTGCCGACACTGTCTAATGGGCGTCTATTATTTTAATGAATAGACGTTATCACTGATTACGAGTAAACGGCTCCTACCTTCTTAACGATGCAAATGGTCGTTAATTACTGGTAATCTCGTTACAAATATATTGCGTTGAAATGAATAACCTAAATATGAGCAACGGTGAAGTGAAAAAAAAAGGGTGGTTTATAAGATATCAATACGGACCAACTAGTTAAAAATTCGACGCGATAGGAAGATAATGTAATAAACGAGTAGTTCGAAGCGACAGGTTGATGTATTTGCCGACAAGTATTGCTGATCACCTGATCACATGATGTTGCGGACTGGAAGAGCGTTACATTGCATAAATTACAAGATTCACCGAGTCTATAGTGCACACACTCTTATGATACTTTTCAAACATCCTCATCCATACCATATGGGTAACAGATTACGGCCTACAACCGCCACATTATCTTAATTCTGACTAATACTAATGCAATACCTTACAATGTCATACAATCGATTGGCTGCATAGAGCATCGCATTGGGAAGGGCGATTACAGCCTCCTTATGTAATTGAAGTATAATAGCATGTAGGGGAAGCTGCCGAGAAGCGCCAACTCATGTGAGCAATAAAATTAAACTACAAGTTGCATTTTTTATAATGAATAACGGAAATCTTCGGTTATTCCTCAAAAGCTTGACGTTGATAAAAGGCCGGAAGCTCGCACCTAAAATGGCGTTTATTTTTTTTTTCATAAACCGTCAGACCCTGGATAAACGCAAACAAAGCTACATTCACAATTGTTGTAAAATTTTCATTGTACGTTCAAAGAGCGCCTAACCTTTTTCAAAATGTGTAACTTGTTAAATTGTTACACAACGCTTTGATGTGAGCGTAGTGCATAGGTACACTTGTAATGCATCAAAGGACAGTCGCGAATTATTGGCCGATGACGAAAACTTTCATCATAGCGATCAAGCTCGGCAATAAAGGCAAATGTCAATGACAATGAAAAATACTTGTTCACATCACAGGTCTCCGACGTTGCCCATATTAATTTCTAAATATATATTGTGTAACTGTTCCTTAATTATATTTCGTATATTCTAGTAGCGTACATTTACTATATATAGTGCGCAGCTTTCAAGGTTTAAGATTAGATGGATAGAGTATGCATCGGCGATCTCTGTCGCATGTGACGCATTGGTTCGCTACTCAATGAATGGATGTTTATTATGCGGGATGTTTATTATGCGGGATGATTACAAATCTCTATAGGATTGGAGAAGGGAATGACAAAACAATACGTACTTTCGCTGAAATAAAAGCACCGTTCCGTCGAAACATTAACGCAATGACACAATTCCTTGAATTATTTGATAATCCAATTACTAAAGACTCTGATCACCAAAACGGTTAATACGTCTGCTGTCCCATCAGTTAATAATAAAATTTACGATTACTTGTCGTCATCTTACGATTTAGTCCTGTTTCACAAATTAAGACCCACCTATTTAATTACTTACTCTACTATTAAGTTTGTTCTAGAATTTTCAGAACTACACACTTTGTATAGAGATTTCTAAATTAATTGGTATATCTAATCACCTGATGGCGAGCACTAAAAATACCTTTGACTTATTTTAATAAATGTGGGGGTTGGTACATATTCATTGTCCTCGAAAATAAAATGACAATTAAACTTGCATTTATTGTCAATGACGCAAGTTCTGCAGCGTTTTACGACCGAAATTACAAAAGTTTGCATAAGCAATGCATATTGGTTTCCTTTCTCCTTTATTTTCGACCACTGCTGAAGTGTATAAATAGATCTACATCTATCTCGCTTCCAGTTGTTTACACCGCATTTGATTACAAATAACAATGTTTAAAATACTCTTCTTTATTGTGCTGTCTTTATCGGCAGTTTTAGCAGTACCGTCGAATAAACGCAATCCCACTATTGCACCTTTGATCGTTTCCCGAGACGCCGAAATTGTTCCTGATCAATATATTGTGGTACTTAAAAAGGATGTTCCCAAAGACAGAATTACTACTTTTAGCGAGGACATTCCTGGAATGACACACACTTACAAGATGGATGGTTTTCACGGATTCGCTGGTAGATTCTCAGAACAAATGCTAGATATAATCAGGCAGAACAATGACGTAAGTATTTAGCATATGTACGTGTATTAAATTTTGCGCAAAAATGCAAAGCAACTAGTTGGCTGAATAAATAGTCTGGTGTAATTTAGTTTTCCTGACTACTCATCTCGCAATTATCAACCTGTTTTCCAGGTGGCATTTGTTGAGAAAGACCAACAAGTGCAAACGTCGACGGTAGTAGTCCAACCTGGTGCACCATGGGGTCTGGCACGAATATCTCATCGTGCACATTTGAATTTGAGTACCTTCGGTCAATTCGCGTACGACCCAATTTCTGGCGAGAATACCACTGTGTACGTACTCGACACTGGCATCAACATCAAGCATACTGACTTTAGTGGTCGCGCTAGATGGGGAGTCACTATCCCAGCTGATGAACCCAACACCGATGAGAACGGACATGGAACCCACGTTGCTGGTACAATTGCGGGGCTCCGGTTCGGCGTTGCCAAGAGAACTAAAGTCGTTGCTGTTAAGGTTTTCCCAGCAAGCGGAACTGGTCCTAATAGCGATGTGATCAAAGGCATAGAATGGGCTGTGAACGACCACAAAAAGACTGTCGCCAAAGCCAAACGAAGAGGAAAAGTATTTAAGGGTTCAGTTATTAATATGAGTTTGGGAGGTGGTAAGAGTACGGCCTTGGAAGCTGCTACTAATGCAGTAAGTATTGTGATTTCAAAATAAAGTTTTTCTTAATGTTAGATATTGTATTATTATGATATTCATATTTGTTATTTTTATTAGGCCGTTGATGCTGGAGTCCCCGTGGTTGTAGCTGCAGGCAACGCCATTACTAATGCTTGTGACAAATCACCTTCAGGAGCGGTAAAAGCGATTGCTGTTGGTTCTACAACTCCCGAGGATTCGCGCTCTTGGTTTTCCAATTTCGGCTGTTGCGTTGCTATTTGGGCTCCAGTAAGTAAAGTTTATTCGGAGATGTGTAAGCGCTACAAAAAGATTTCCGGAATTATGAAATTGACGGAAGGTCTTATGTTAAACATGTCTCTTCTTTCTTAGAGTTTGTCGTATTCAAAAATATCACGCTTCTACTTCACTTTCTAACAATTTGTTCAAAATACAGGGTAGCTGCATTGAGTCTGATTGGATTGGTTCTAAGACTGCCACAATGACACTCTCTGGTACTTCCATGGCGACTGCTCATGTATCCGGTCTTGCAGCTTATTTCCTCACGTTGAGCCCAACTCTATTGACACCGGAAACATTACGTACTAAACTGCTTACTGTAGCTACACGAAATGTCCTCACTGACCTCAAAACGTGCAGTCCAAATCGTTTGGCATACAATGGTATTGGGTTCTAAGAGTGAAGTTGTTCCGAATTATAACAGTTTGGAGTTTGCTTTGTGAAAAAAGTAGAGTCTATAATTTATTTTAGATATTTGTTTGATTCCATTTAAAAAATAGACATTAGATATCATAACATATTATTTATTATCAATATGCGAAACTTGTCCGATTGGATAAATGTACAACACAATAAATACAGTATATTATTTATTTTACAGAACGAGCATTAACCGATAGACAATTAATTAACAGTGTGTCGTTGCTTATACTGTACGTTAACCTGCGTGAGTGAGTGAGTGAGTGAGTGATTTAGTAAGGATACGTACGTAATAGACATGTCATCTTGTCAAATAGCATAGACTGTATAGTTTAGCCTTCTAATCAGTTGCTAATATATTGATTCTGAAACAATACTATCCAAAATGTTATTTCACCCCCCAAACCTCACGAGCATTTCATAACCCCAAAACTCACTAACCATAGTTTAGCCTACGTATTGTCACTTGTTATTGGTAAGTCTGATTTTATATTTAAAGATCCGCACAGTGTTCACTGTGCAACTTTCATACGGCCGAGGTCGTTGATTTAAGTATTGTTTTATTTTGAGGAGACAATACATTTAAGTTTTCACTGTTTTGACAAAAAAAAAAAAAAAGGTTATCGTCTGTCCCTCAGTTCTTGGCGTACCACAATATGACAGGTATTTTGAAAGCCAGTTGCCTAATTCTCATCGACTATGTATGGGTTGTGACTTTACGATTTCCTATTGGTTCATGATTAACGCCCATCAACCAATTCATTTCGCGTTAAGGCCAAACACATGATTCAAAAAACAAACAGTGTAAACAAATGGAGTGTGTGTTGCCCCATGATATGATTCATCACCACATAATCGATTAACTGATAAGACTGGACTCACTATAACATGACCCGTATCTGTCAAACAAGTCGAACGTATATTACCAAACATTCTCGAGTCGTTCATACAAGCTCCTCTCACGCCAAGATTATCTTTGCACTGTCGACTAATATTGGAATGGCTCCGTATACGATCCATTAAGTTGAGTTGACGTCAATAAACATAATCAAGCCAGTATCTGTTCTCCTCCTCAATGTACAACATTATTAGTTCACTGTCTACGCTAACTCATTACACAACGCTTTATTCATATTCGTTACACTAATGTACTTTAAGAATAGTGTGTACATTATAAATGGGATATTCAGTCTTAATTGTTTGTTGACACGGCATACAATTACCCAAATAATATGGTCTGTGCAGCACAATTACACAACAAACGCTGAACTTTACTAGCAAGTGATAAAGAATCGGGAACAATCGCTTTAATTCATGGTATAGGTCCCGGATCCATGTGCAATAATAAGCATCTCGCTACTATTATTGCTTATGGTAATAGTGCTGTATCACGCTGTCTTCAGTCATAAATATCCGTAGTCCCCAAGTCCCCAGCATCAGAGCTTCACTCTGCTCACAACACGTCAACACTTGAAAACACCCAACATGACAAAGTTCTTTTTATTGATTACGCTGTTCTTGACAGCAACCGTGGCGATGCCCTACTACGGGAACAGGCACAGCGGTCTCGCACCTTTGGTCTCTTCTCCTGGTGCGGAAACTATCCCTGACCAATATATTGTGGTTTTCAAGAGTAGTGTTACTGCGGGGAGAATCACTTGCCACCATAACGATGTCAGAAGCATGTTGGCCGAAGAGAGCAGAAAAGTCAAACGTGGATTCATGACTGAACTCATATCTGGAATTAACCATTATTATGACATTGGGGACTTCCAAGGATACTCGGGTAAATTCTCATACGATGTGCTGAACAGAATCAGAGAGAGTGATGATGTAAGTAGCATGCATGTTGATGATCTTGACCAAACGCGCTCGAGAAACGCAAACTCTAAGTCTCACCAAATATTAATCAATTTTTTAGGTTGCGTATGTTGAGAGAGACCAAAGAGTCTATCCAACCGTCCTCCAGCGTAATGCTCCATGGGGTCTCGCTCGCATAGCTCATCGTGAGCGCTTGGGAACAGGCACATTTAGCCAATACGTGTACGACAGCAGCGCAGGTGAAGGTGTCACTGCGTACGTAATCGATACTGGAGTTAACATCGACCACGTCGAATTTAACGGTCGTGCCTCATGGGGTACCACTATTCCAAATGAACCGGATGAAGACGAGGAAGGCCATGGAACTCATGTTGCTGGTACCATTGCTGGTGAAACATATGGTGTCGCTAAGAAAGCTAAGATCGTTGCCGTCAAGGTCTTGGGACCGAACGGTGGCACCAATAGCGATGTGATCAAAGGAATAGAATGGGCTGTAAACGCTCACAAAAGAGAATCCGCTAATGGTGATTCTTCATTCAAGGGTTCAGTCGCTAATATGAGTTTGGGAGGACGTAACAGTGCTGCGTTAGATGCTTCTGCCAATGCAGTAAGTATTTTTGAGAAGAGCGTGTTTAATGTGTTTCCGCCTTGAATTTTCTAATCACGTGCGGTAAATTAATTTAGGCTGTTGATGCTGGAGTCGTCCTGTCTGTAGCTGCAGGCAATGAAGCTGTCAGTGCTTGTACCTCATCCCCAGCCTCGGCTGAAAAAGCAATTACTGTTGCCGCTTCTACTATTGAAGATGCTCGTGCCTCGTTCTCGAATTACGGTGAATGTGTCGATATTTTTGCTCCCGTAAGTAAACAAAAAATTGTACAATTGTATTATTTCTTTATGCAATCTAACGCTAAGTGTTAGCCTAATATCGATATGTACCCAACTAACATACATTTTCATACTTTAATGCAGGGTAAAGATGTCTTGTCAGCCTGGATTGGTTCTAACACTGCCACCAACACAATCTCTGGTACTTCCATGGCGACGCCTCATATAACGGGTCTTACAGCATATATCCTCGGTCTGAGCTCAAGTCCTTTGACTCCAAAGCAAGTTCTTGACGTACTGCTCACCACTGCCACGCGAGATGCTATCAGTGACGCCGGACCCAGCAGCCCTAACCTTTTGGCATACAATAACTATAATTCTTCAAACTTTCATTTCTACTAAGGAATCTGTAGTATATATATATATTTAAGGGGAGGACTGAACGTATGGAGATGAGTTCTCGGACACAGTTTATTTGTAAAGACAGATTTATAAATAAATAAATTTATCAAATTGGACGTTAATTTTGTATCAGTTCAAAACTGTGTTTCGGTACCAGAATCTTCTTTTGCGGATGGGAACGTGGGTTCTTGGTCATCTGACGTGAGGCTAAGCTCGCATGTATGGGAGGAAGAAATGCCAGTTATAATTAGGGCCCAAATGCCAACCTTATATCACATGATCGAATTCATACCCAAACCGCCTGAAAAACGTAAACATTTTTTTATTCCCTTAAGAGTCTCTCGGTCGGAGACCTTAAAGCGCTCGACGCGGCATTTTCTCCACATTGGTGAAGAACGGGCAGAATAGAAGAATCGCACATCTGGAGAAAGTTAAGGACTATATTCATGTCCATGTACATGCGGACAAAGTGCCATCTTTTGCAGTGTCGTTAATACACGCATAGCTGCCCAATGCTTGACTATCACGGTAAGAGGACGTACACGCGGGTCGATTGAAACTTAGGTTTTGATTAGATGAGTGTTGTGTAATGTGAATGTGTGATTTACGTTCATATCACAAGCTGTCTTATCGAATTTTTCCTTCATTTACGTCTCCTCAATACTTTGCTAAGCTTTGCGCGTTCTTCAATTCTGGAGAAGTGGTAATGGTGCATATCTACGTTTGATGATAACGCGCCAAGGTCATTTACTGTAGATCTAAGGAGAGAAAAATCTTCTAAAGATTTATCACAAAAGGAATAAATATTTACTAAAGTTTGACTGACTGTGAAGCTGATGGCTGTCTAAACAATCAAAAGACTGCACTTGAATTCTTTTTCTCGTCTAAGGAGAAGGCGAAGGGAAAAGCATGGGTTAGGGAAGACCAAGAAGCGGAATAATAGAAAAAACCAACTGAATAGAAATTACAAATAACAAGATAATTGTGGTGTGCTACATAAAATGCCCAACATGTAATGAATGTGAAGCCAACCATGCTCTCTCTAATGATACCATTAATTATCGCCACCCATCTTTTTTCCACTTGCCACTCTCGTTTTAGCGTCCGCCTTATCTTGTGTGTATCTATTAAAATGTTCTGATCTTACAGCCTACAGGCAGCTCCCATTCGTACAGACATTATCATTGTGCCATGTAAATATCGTCTATCTCCATTACTCTATCTATTATTACCATGCCCTGTTGTTGCAAAAAAATTAAAATGTTGCCACTGCGTTCCCGGAGATAATCGATTGTCCAAATTATTCGGTGACTTGTCATATCGTTCAAACTTTAGATAGGCAGCTCTCCTTCTACTCAATACCCATACATTATGTATGACATTCGTTTCAAAGTTAGTCTATACGAACTATGAAGGTGCGGCAAGCGTAATGGAAGGGAACCTCTCCTTTGACCAACTGTTAGTGCAAATCTTCAGAATACCCATGTCCAACCGGAAGCAATGTCTTCATCGCAACGGACATGCCAGAGTAAATGTTCTGCTTTCTGCCCAAGATAGCCGTGACGATTCCGTTATTCTGCTTTATCGTTGCCTTATAAACCGCTCCATGACCAATACATATAGTCTAGTTTTATGGACAGCAATAGATTGAACCTCTTGAACGCTTGCCTCTAGCCATTCTTTGTGCGAATTATTAGATATTGTTAACATTGAATGCAAACGGGCAAGCTGTAGCAATTGTGCGATCGATAAGACTTTAAAAATTTGAGGTAACTTAAACTGGCCCGAAATCGCAATAGGCACATTGTCTAATATCGCAGCCAATAAGCGACATCTAATTAACATTGTTTATGTGCGACCCGATTTTGAATCGGGCTGAATTTCGCACCTGAAAAAAAATTTTCTTTCAACTCAAACTATGTCGTTAGTGTCAGAGGTTGTTAATAATCCAACAATTGATAACTTGGTTCAATCCTCCTTGGAAAGTGAACATGACTTGAGACTTGAATGGATTCCTTGCTCGCAAATTACCGACATAAAGCCAACTCAAATTGACAACGTCTACTGCGCTATTCGCAAGCAAGGGTGTAGATATATGACAACATTGGTGTTGCTTGGAAGCGATGAAATATGTACACCAACATTTGTGAGTGAGTTTGCCAGAATATACTCACTTCCAACACACAAGTACAATAATGTTGACAGTCAATTTAGACGATATGAGAAATGGCTTGAATACCGCAACAGCATGATAAAAGGGTTTACCAAATGTAATGACCAGTATTACATGATTGCTCATAAACGCTTCTACCACTGTTACTCTCAATATGGCTTCTGCACTGCATGTGGAAGACTCCGATGTAGTCCCGTGTGGTGCATCTGTGGACATAAACAATTATCCAATGGATGGACTAGCAACAATAAGCAACTTGATGAGTTTATTAAGAAATCTCAATTACAAACAAACTCAGCAAATCAAGCCTATTTGGAATGGGTTCCATATGATTGCATTAATTATAATTGGAGACAAAGGTATAGACACTTGTATGGTCTACCTACTTCTGCACATGCACATGTTATATTGATCCTGCTTGAGATAACTGATGAGACAGATGATTCATATTATGACATGGTAAACTATTCACATATTAATATGCATCATGTTTATTATTATTGAATAGTTTAATAATTATTGACTTATGATTATGTATCATGTCCACTAGTTATGTGATGAGTATCCAGATAATAATGTTTGGATAATTATTGGATTTATGTATGATACAAGGGAACAAAAGTATTGTCTAATAAAACATAAGGATGGATTATGTCTGGCATGTGCAAAGCCATTAAAACCTAAAACAAATGCATTCTGTTACAAATGTAAAGCACCAAGACCTCTCAATTGGTCTACAGGCAACAAGTCTTTGGATTCATTTATAATGGAGTCATGGAATAATACAGATAACAAAGATGATGCATATATACAATGGATCAAATACTCTCAATTATCAAACATACAAGAGATGACATCATTACCCCATAGATGCACACATATAGCAGATTGGTTAGTATTAGGATCAACAACAAATGAATTGACACATGTGACACTCAAAAAGATAACTGATGAACAAAATGATTCATTATTTGATTTTTATCAGGTAAATTATTTTGTACAATCAATAAGTGTATATTAATATTGTGTGTTTAACATTGATTATTGTTGTAATAACTGTATTTATTTACTCAAACAGCTAACTAAGGAATACCCTGAAATATTGACTCCAGATAATATTTGGATAGCTGGGATCACTCAAGAGCCATCTTCTCATGAATACTATTTAGTGTTTTACCACATATATGTAGCATTGAACAAATTTATACAAATTAATGGACAGGTCAAGTATATTCCATATACTGACTTTAATGAAATTAGGGAAATTGGATCTGGATGTTATGCAACAGTCTATGCAGCAAAATATAAAAGGTATTTAGAAGAGAATATGCCACAAACTGTTGTACTCAAATGGTTTAAGAGTTTTGATGGAATGCCAGAATTATTTATTTCTGAGGTAAGCAACCTTTAATCTTA